GGCAGTCACTCTCTCTTCTCCCCTGAGCCTATTTGGTCCTCCTGCCCTCTCCCCCAGCCCTGCTGTTGTCCCCTCCCTCCCTTGTCTCTTATTGCTGTTCCCTCCATGGCCTGTTCCTTGGTGGTCTCACAGATCCTGTGTCAGTGGGTGAAATCCCAGTCTATGGTACCGTGCATCTTTCAGCAGCTCCGTAAGACCATGGTCTCCCTTAAGTGCCACTGGAGTTTCCACGAGATGCAGAGCTGGAGCTGGGACATCAAAGTCCCAAATAGCTTACACCTGCCCACAAGGGAAACCTTGCCTCTCACTTGTCCTGACCTCCCTGCCACTGTCTGGATTCTCTGGCACTATACCACTCCTCTTTCAGGAAAGTGTTTTGCTTTCCTTTCAGGAGTGGAAGAAACTGGAGGCCCTGGACCTTCAGTCCTGTGCCCTCAGCCACCATAAAGTATTTAGGAACCAAAATCAGGGGCTGCAGGTGAAGCAGTGAAGGTTCTGGAGATGGGTGACATGAACACCCTCAGCATCCTTCAAAACAACGTGAGAAACATGAAGCATCCCCGGGATGCTTCACATTCCACTCTTCAAAGAGGTTTTAGATACCTAATGGCTAACCCCAGCTCTTGATATCTTCAGCAGAAGGTAGGTGCCGAGTGCCACCCCCAGGTAGCAATCAGCATCTTTCTCTCCTCGCTCCTGGTGCCTTTCAGCTTAGTGCCTGCGCTCAGCAAATCCTCCCACCTGGCAAACCTCTGGGTTTGCAGACTTGGAGCAACTACTATTTGCTGTTCACCCCTAGCTCATGTCACACTCCTCCTCACAGAAATAACTCTGTGGCCACAAGCCTCATCATGTCTTCAAGGTGCTCAGCTCCTCATCAGCCCAGAGCATGGAGCACAAAATAAACTCAGCCAATTTTTCTATATCATTCCAGTAATTCCTTAAGGGATGAGACTGTCTCAGTGTGCGGGCAGACAAAGAGTCAGCACTAATGCAGGGTTTCATCCCTTCTGCGCTCGCTGTCCTTAGAGCAGAAATATTCCTGCTGTGATAATGGGATTAAAAAGATGGGTATCCAGGCACTAAGAATTAAGGGAATTTCCATTCAAAACTCCATTGAGTTGTCATTTGAAATGGCTGTGTAAAGACGTGAATGATTAGCAGATAGAGATCAAAACTTCCACATTAGTAAACACAAAAATGGACTTGGCAGTTTTTCTTAAACTAAAATGTTATGAATGTAGTGAAGTTTATTTGTAGGCCAAGGCATTATCAAAACAGAACATAAACTTTTAGGGCATCCAGTTATCTGGCATAATAATTCTGTCTTTACTCATTAACAAACATCAGCAGATCCATGCTGTGGACACCAATATTGGGAAGTGTTGGGTACAGTGGCTTCTTTGTGAATGAAGGGTCTTTCTCTGAGAACTGGACTGCTGGTAATTATCTCCATGTCTTTGATCTATTTACTTTGTGCATATTTCATCTGTTTTGGTTTGTTACTTGCATTTCAATGATCTCTCACATTACAGAGCAATTCCTTCTGTTGGGAAAATTGCCTTACCCTTTCCCATGGGAGCGTAGCAGTGAGCTAACCACTCCTCAGAGATGACAGGTCCATTTTTTACTTCTGTGAGCATGACTGCACTGATTTAAGGAATGTGCTCGTATACAGCTGAGGAATTCAGTTTGCTCTTATGAAGCTTCTGTGTGCATTTATAGCAAACTGCAAACTCTTTTTGGGCTGCCAAGCTCTTTGCTTGCTCTCTCAGCTTTAAAAGTAAAATAATAGGCAGAGATGACAAAGGACCACTGTCATTAAAGATCCATCTCTTACTCATCAAAAGCAAGATCATCTCTATTTCTAACTACTGGTTAGACAATTGTATTTAACACAATAATTATGATAAGACCGAGTGTGTATTTGATTGACCTCAAATTTTCCCAAGAACAATTTTATAAACTATTACATGTTGTGAACTTGAGCTTAAAATAGAAGGATTGCTCCATCTTTTTTTTTGCCATGACAGATGATAAACCCATGCTGATAGCTACGTGGTCAAACATCCCATTCCTTCTATCACCTTTTTTCAGATTACTGGGGTTGGAACTGGTTGGGAAGTTTTCAATTCCTTCTTCCCACAGGCTGTTATTTCTTAGTGTCCAGTGTTTTATCTTTAACTGTTATTATTATTGCTTTATACGTGATGATAGTAAAAGAAGTCTTGAGGAGTAGCAAATATCTTCTGTATTTTGTGTTTCTGTTCTTGAAAACAACATTGGGAAAAGTACAGCAAACAAACTTTGACTGGAACTACTGAAATCAAATCAGAGTTAGTTTTGCATCTGAAAGTTGTGGCAGAGTCCAGCTTCAGCTTGTTATATTCCCATTCAAATCAGTACCTGCCCATTCCCGTACAAATCAGTACCTCAGACAAAATTAGCTCTGGGTAGACCTATACTTGAGAGACAGCTCACGACTAGGAGAAGCTAAGGGCATATTACCAGAAGACAAGTTTTTGTCACCCTGTCGCTGCAGGAGAGGGGCAACAGGGCTCTGCTGAGGATACTGGAGTATATGGTCAGCAAGAATAGGAAACATCATGCTCACCCAAGTGTGCCTGTCCTGTGTGGGAAACAAAATGGGCTTCAAACTCTCCCCATGCCAGAGCAGGAGGGACTCATGCAACCCAGAGGTTCATCACCAAATATTGATAGACCAAGAATCAGCAACTTAAACTGACTCAAAGCTCCCTTCTTACTTTCACAATGTATGAAGACAGATTTCACTGCTTCAGCATCAGGGGACAAGTCTACCCAAAGCACACTCAAACCTCTTTGGTAGCTTCAGTAATACCAGAAAGAGCTTTTGAAGCTTTCTCAATCTGATTGTCTGGGCCAGAGAGCACAGCTCTTTGATTTCTATGAAAGCAATTCACACCCTACAGCAGGAGGCCAGGGGTTCAGTCTCCTGCCCTTGAGTGCTGCTGTGGTTTGAATGTGAGCCCACCTCTGTGCCCCAGTGTCACACTGTCACTAACCACCTCTGATGTTTGTCTGCCTTCATGGTTCTTCATGCAGGAGAGCCCAAGATTGATTATTTTTGCCTCCAGTGTAACACTGGGACATAAACAACATTTTCTCTCTTCAGATTTTATTGTCTGAACAGGTGCCCTGGAGCTGTGTCATGCAGCAAATGTATTTGTCTGAGCTAATAAAAGTGTGAAATGTACCCCATATTGGATAAAGAGCTTAGCAAAAGGATGTTTTCATAAAGGGATGTTTTCACAAAAAGGTGTTTTCATAAGAAGATGTTCTGGCCTTTCACTGAGCCACCTCGAGCAAAGGAGGAAAGTTGTGGCATCCCACCAGCTCTCCCAGATCTAGACCCAAAGCTTGCAGCCAGCTTTGGGGTTGTCCTCTCCACCACTGCTCCACCAGTCCCTCAGCAGTACCTTGGAAGGCAGCAGCCTCCACAGCATTAATCCTCTTTCCACTTAGACCGATCTTTTTTGCCAGAGGATGGCCAAGAGCAACAACCAAGGAGTGGCAGCGCATTACAGAGCAGTGGTGGCACTCTGCAAGAAGTAGCCATTGAACAACTCTTTAAGAAGTATCCTGCATCCATTCATCAGTGGCTTATTCTTAGGGGACACAAGTGCCTTGCCCAGCACCACAGGTAAATCTCGTCCTTAAAGAGGATGAGAATTTCTCTTCCAGGCCCCAACAACCAGACTAGCAGCAGGCAACCCTTCAAAGCCCTGCACCAGGCTGGCTTTTTCAACATTAGAGATTACATGCACTCTGAAAAACTGAGCAGGAGCTAGGAGGATTGTGGTTAGGAGTCCCCTTTTGGCAGGACCTAGCCTCCTCAACAGCGAGCAAGACCTGAGGGTCCTTTATAAATGTTTCTCTGAAGATGCTGTAGTGCCCCATCCCTGCCTTGCAGGAGCTCTGCTCTTTCACCATAAGCATGTGCTGCTGTGGCCCACCTCTCACGTTAGACCATGTAGTTTTTCCTCAGAAAGGAAAATTCAAAACATTAGTGTAGGAGAATACAGCTGTACAAAGTCAAATCTCATCGCTTCGACTCTTGAGTTTGGGACTCACATTTTGTCTCTTCCAGGGAAACAAGAATTTAATTGCCTTTACTGAAATGTCTCCCCTTTTGCACTCATTCTGTGTCACCAACTGCAAAAATCCCTTTGATTTTGGTTTGAGACAAGTCATTCATTCTTATCAGTCGTCTTCTCCTAGTTTGGGAAGAGAAACTCGGGTCTGTGCAGGGTAACTTTCTTACACAGTTGTCTCAGACTGCCCTCTTATGGCAACATTTTAAACTGTAGGTTTTCTGAGGCGCTTCAAAGATTTTTCAAGTTCAGTTACTGACAATTCTAGTCTTAAAAATTACTGATCAACACGAGAGAAGATGTCATGGTTGCCTGATTCATTTCTGCCCGATACAAGTCCTGTCATCAATTTGTCCTGCCATGCCCAAGCATAGCCAACCCCCTGGTCAGCAGCTTGACCACCATCTGGTACCCTTGTGCTTGCTCATCCTTCATCCTTCGTCAGAACAAGTGTGCCCTGGCTGGGGCAGGGGGTGTTTGGGAAGTTTTCTAACATGCTTGCGCATGTATGCACACATCTGCACTGCTCTTTGTATACGTCAGAGAAGCCATCTCAGCTGGCTAAGGACAAGTGTGTGGATGTGGGAGAGATTTGCACTGGTCAGTAACCGTAAAAGTGGATGGAAATGAACAAGCAGGCAGGGCAATGTGCAGCCACATCCCTTTAAAGCTGCTCTGCCCACCTCAGTTCTGGCTGTTCCTGCCCAGGGAACTCATCTTACCCTTCACACAGTAGCAAGTGCGGGGCTGTGAGTGAAGAAAGTCACATGCAGAGGAGTTTCTAACCATTTTAGAGTGTGGGTGGGGAGGAATTGATCTAATCTGCGGATTCACAATGTCCATTCAACGTGCAAATGCTTTTAAAACGCAGCAGTCACTTACCTAAGACATGCAGTCTACACAAAATGTAGAGAAAGGACTCGAGACTGGGCGCCCACTGTTGCCTTAGGCTTCTTGGTCTGCACTGTGGTGGCTGCCTGGACACTTAGAGCCTTGCAGTGGTGGCACTGACACCTCATGTCCTTCAGCTTCCAGGGCTATTGCTTCCTACTTTTAAGCGTCTTCAGCAGAGTCGGGGCCTTGCAGCATGCCTGAGCTCTACTGACTTCACCCTCTAGAGGGCAGCAAGAGGGTTTCACACAGCCAGCTGTTTACCACAGCTATGCATCACGACAAATGCGTTCGTGTGCGTATGAATGCATCGAAAGTAGCAGAAGGTAGTTTGTACGCACGACTGCCAAGAGCTGGTGGCTCGGGTGACGTTTTGGTTGTAAGGTCTGCCTCCGGAAGGAAGCAAAAAATAGGCCTCTGCCCCAAAGTGGAGTCTGCACAAGCCACCACTGGTTTCTTCTAGGACAGGGCCCTTTGTCTTTTGTAGCTGTGTGCCCAGGAAAAGAGCCAAGGACATTACCTGCAGTGTACAGACACTTGTGAATTGCTCAAATGCCCAGGCAGAGAAAGGAAACTATAGTGGCAGCGTTACTTGTACTAGCAGTGACCTGGGAAAAAACTCTTTCCATTTCCAGCCATGCAGAGCCAGAGCTTATTTAATTCACAGATACGTTTACATCCTCCCAGCCAGCACCAGCTTGTCTGAGGCACAGCACTCTCCTGACTGCAACAGTTTACAGGCTGGTGAAGGGACATGCATCACCTGCATGACAGTACAGCCCTCTGGAAGGAGTTATTTCCTCCTAGGGATGATTTATAGATAGCAAGGTAGGTGGAGAATGTGAACACATACTTGACTCATCAACGTTTTTTTCAGTCCCATTTGGCTCTCAGCTCTCAGTGTACATTACCTTGCCTGTGTTATGAACAGTCTCGACGTGACTTCTTCTATTTAGATACTCAGCCTGGAAAAGCAATACGCTAGGCTTTCGATTTCAAAACCAGGAGACACACCTGGTTTATGCATTACTTCTGCATGGAGTGAGGAGGGAGACCATTTATACCCCCAAAACAGCAACTTTAAAACTTTTCTAAGGATTTTTTGTGAGAAATGGTTATATTGCATGAACACCTTCCTCTGAAATTAGAAGAATATAAACAAGAAAGCACTGAGTTGCCATAAGATCAAAACTCAAAACATGAAACCAATGACGAAGCAAAATAAACGTCTGTTTCCTTCCTAATGAGCAGGTGCCCCTGCTGTGAAAAGGCTCCCCCCAAGCAGACATCCATTTACCTGCTAATTCTTTGGCTTAGAAAATGGGGCTGTGCTCCCTGGGGGGGAGCTTAGAAGTCATTTCTCTCCCTCAGCCATCTGCTTTCCTGTGTGTAAAGTGGAGATGATCATCATTACTTTTACTGCCGTATTCATCTTGGATGATGGATTGCATGAGCATGAAGATTTTTATAGGCTCCATTCCATTTGTGCAGGGAATATAACATTTGAGCCTCTACTTTCCTTGCTGCCAGTGTCAGCACATGAAGCTCAGACTCCAGCCCCCACTGTACACCCCCAAGACAAGAGTAGATTCGGATATGAGACATTAAAGTGTGGCTGTGCTGGTGTTCTGCAAGGTCCCTGTGGTTCCACTTCCAGCTGTTTCCTCTGGAGCCACTGGGAGTAAAGTTTGTTTCCTGGCTGTTGTCCTCAGGAGCCCTGACACCTAGCAAACCCTGATGGTTTGCACACAGGACCCACAGTACTGCCTCTGTCCCCAAGCCAGGCATCTCTCCCAGGCTGCCACTGCCCCTGTGAACCTTTAGAAAGGTTCGCTACTGCCCTGGGGATGCTGCAGGCAGAGGCACAGGCTCTGTGTTTTGGCTTTTCCCAGCTGTTTCCCCCACGTGTGGTTGCAGTGATGCAGCATGGTGTCTCTCCTCCCTCACCCTTGACTGAATGGCTTGGAGCCTCTGGGAGCCATCCCTGGAGGGTAGGTAGCATCCCACACCTGCCTGCTTCTTCAGAGAGGGAGGTGAAACCTGTACTCAACAGGTCCGGGGTAAAGGAAGTTAAAAGGGGGCTTTAAATCATCAAAAATACAAAATACATGACATAATTCCTTTGTCTCTGTAATTCCTTCATATCCATTCTCTCAACAAGCATAAAGCAGATAAGGGGCAAGCAGGAACATCCCATGCAAAACTCTTATATTCAAGGCAGGCCAATTCAGCGCAGTGCAATTGCCACTCACAGTGAGGAAGAGGAGCTGCCTTTGCTTCAGGTTCCTGGACTGGTGGGGTCAAAGCCTCTCTTTGCCCAGCCTCACTCAGCAATGCTTGGCTATGTTCATCTTTCTCATCCCTGCTAATAGCCAAGACATGTGAGTCATTAGATGCTTTGAGAGACCCAGAGGAAAGCACACCAGCAAGATAACATCTTTTCTCCATGAGGTGAGGGTAAAATCTCTGCTTGAGTTGTCCCAGAGGGAGCCTGCATGGATCTGATCCTGGAGCATGTACCAGGAGCAGCAGCAGTAGCTCTGGACCCATGGGGTCAGTTTATACCCAAAGAAAAAAAAAGCAAAGGGTGGATTTCATACAGAATGCTGGGCAGTATTTAACAAAACTGCATTAAAAAAATAATAAAAGAATAATCACAAGTATTTTTAGGTTTAAAAACAGTCCTGTTAACTAGCAGAAAATGGGCACTTTCTGCATTTTCTGCAGCCACAGTGACTGCTTTGTTTCCAATACAGCAGCCTGCATGTCTTTGCAAATGCCCACAGACTCCCGCTGGTTTTACCTCTCACTTTAAATGACAATTTGAAAGCTCTTGGCTGTAGTTGCCATCCTTCTGACCACAAACTACCTACAGCAGTGGCCACTGGAAAGCCCCAGTGCTTATCGCCAGTGATCACACCATTTAAGGCCTGTACACTGAAATTCACTGCCCAGCAGTGGTCCAGCAAACCCATGCAGATGCCCCTCATGTCATACCCAAAATACCACAGTATCTATAATTAGAGCAGGAAATGCCTGTGGCATTGTGGTGAACACTACCAATAATTTCCTTTCTGCTGCTGCTTTGCGAGATGTTGCTGCTGACAAACCCAAGGAATTATGAGCCTAGTTGAGTTGCAAGAGCAATGTTATTTTCTTCATCTTTCTCCCTACTTCCCTGCCTGTACTGATGTCTTTTTCCCTGCTTTTCATTTCACTTAAGTGTCTCATTGGAGGAACAATCTTTTCACCCCATGGTTACAGTATCCATGACCATAAGGCCCCAGTCCCTGATGGAAAAAATGGCAAGATAACCGTTCTGTGTTAGCAATGTGCACCCTGTGAGGCTGAAGAACAAGCACAAGCCATTCAACACAGCATGGCATATCCACTCTGCCAGTAACTCAGATTAAAACTGACTTCTATAGAGACCTCCAGTGCATGTTGATGGGCCCTGGGCAGATTGCAATGGTATGGAAAGAGTCTGTTATACATGAGCACAACCTCAGAGTGTAAGGGTTTCCCCTCTGTTTCCTAATTGAACATCAAGGAAAAGGTTTTTTTTTTAAATATCTCAAAATACACCCTTTTAATAAAGACTAAGGCCCTCCAGTTGTGAGAGTAGCACTGTGTTGTTCTTTTACTTCACTTGAATGTTTTTCCCTGCATATAACCTACATCATCTCTGCTGACAATTTCACATAATTTCTCTTTTCTTACTCTCAAAGGCTATCAAGGACAAGTGACCATTACCTGCACCATAACAAACCTCTACCCATCAGAAGACTTGTGTTACCATTTCCCCTCACTCCTGCTCTACATGTATTCCATTCATTTCCAGAATAAGTAAATCCAGCTCCATCAACCTTTCCCAACAGAGGCATTTGCATCTTTCTGTTGCTGTCTGCACCTTGCCCACCATACTTCTTAAATGGCAGTGCCCACAGCTGGGTGCAGCAGCCAGGCAAGGCCCTTGCTGGCAACAGTGAGAATGGGATGAGTCTGGTGGGAAGCACAGGTCTCAGGTATCTGCCCATGAGGACAAGCTGAGGGACAGGGGCTGTCTCAACCCAGAACTGAGATAGCTTTGGGGGAACTTAACAGCAATCCCCAGTGACAACACTATGGAAAGGGAGCCAGGCTGCTTGCAGCCTGCTGGGAGGACAGGCGACAATGAGCATGAGGTGAAGTTTCAGGTAGGATATATGGACATATTCTGTCCCCACGAGGCCACTCGAATAGGAGGATGGGCTGCCTAGAGAGGCTGTCCAGCCTCCATCTCTGAAGATTTTCAAGTCGCAGCTGGATGAAATCCTGAGCAATTTGGTCTGATCTCACAGCTGCTCCAGAGACCTCATCACGTTGCTTCCAACATGAAGTAACCTGTGGTTCCATGATCCTATGATCTTCCAGGTGACAAAACCAGGTACATATGCTGTATAAGTTTGAAATGGGATTTATGAGGTGTATAGGTGGACCTAGTACAGTGTTGTATTCCTGGGCCATTGTATGCTTCAAGCAAAGGCCTACCAAAAAGATGAATTTTGGTGAAAAGCCAGAGAACTCAGAAAGATCTCATTGCTTTAAAATCTAGTCAAATAAAAATCAAAGTGGTTTCAAAAGTTGTGCCTGCCAAATGCCCTTTGCCACCACCAGCTGTTTCACAATCTTGCCCTTCCATTTTATGTCAGTATTTTCCCACCTGCATTGCATAAAAGACTCACTCATGTGGTGGAGCACCAAAAACCCCAAACAGCTAAAGACAAAAGCAGTGAACCTCATTAAGCCCATAATGTTGTTGAAGGTTTGAAGTAAACAAACAAGAATGAGGTTTCTTTGAATTGCTTCATGTTCTGGTAATACTAAGGAGGCAGATTTACCCATATTAGGTGAAATATTTTCACAAGTGTGTTTGTTTGCAACTGGTGTTTCTTAAAATGACATCTTGAACCTCCCACTGCCTACGAAGAGCACAACAGGGTCTGCAACAAACCCTGGTTCCTGACTGTCTTGGCAGTAGAACCACAAAAATTACACCACCACCTCTCCTACGTAAACCAGAGTGTCTCATCTGTTTTGTAACTGCAGTTTTTATGAAACCTCACCACAATAGCACTGAGTGACGGCACAGTAAACTGTGCTAAA